TTAGCAGCAAGTCAAGCTTTCCTTAGGCTTCTTCTTTGAATTCCTCTTAGAAACAAACAAGTGTGAAATCCGTTTCAACATATTAGCATGTGTCATATTAATCTTAGAAAAGGTTCTCATGGGGCGCTGGTGGCGCAGCGGTTAGTGCGCTTACCCATGTACAGAGGCTTTCGGTCCTCCAGGTGGGCGGCCCGGGTTCAAGTCTGGCCTGTGGCTCCTTTTCCCGCATGTCATTCCCCACTCTCTCTCTCTCTCCCCAGTTTCCGGCTCTGTCCACTGTCCTGTCTCTCCATTAAAGGTACAAAAAGCCCAAAATAAATCTTTAAAAAGGTTCTCATTGAGCAGAAACACTTCTAGGAGTAAAGGGGGATTCATGTATTAAAAGATTACCGGTCATAGCCACTGCTGTCCTCTATCAATAGCCTCACAGGCGGCATCCACAGCCTCGCTGAACAAGACTTGCTTGTTTATAAAGAATATTCTGTTACTGTTTTTGTTCATTAAAAACCAGTATGCCAGTAAGACCTTGAGTTTGATAATAGTGATTGTGTCAGGAGGAAGAAGATAATAGAAAAAACACATTAGCTTGCTTCACCCACTCTCATGTTTGAAGACCAACGACTGGGAATCAATACCTGTCCTTTGTAACCGTCGCTGTGCTGTATGTGGAGCGGCTGGCCCTGCACAGGAAATTCAAATATCTGCCCATCAAACCAATACAAAAGAAAGGTCTGATTTCTGAGGAAAACTACGGAGCACTCAGGCAGGACAAGGTAGCATGCTGTTCTTTGAGAGAACACAGTAGGAACGGACACTGAAAGAGAGGATGGGCTCTCCTTTGTAGAAATTGTTAGCCAACACAAGCACCTGAGAGAGGGACAAGTGCAAAGCAGGCGTCCCAGTGCGCAATCCTGAAGTCAGGACGAATGCAGAAAGGGTGGCGGGCTGCAGCAAAGCCCAATCCTATCAACCTGTTTCATCCACTTTTAAAGTAGAAAACAATTTTCAAATGGCCCAGTATGAGAGTCCAGGTCAGCTTCTCTGTGGAGAAAGCTGTCAGTGAGGTGCAGAGTGCCGTGAAGAATGCATAAATAAAGCTACACTGGATGCATCACCTGAATCCATGATTGAGAGAGAATCATTTTTATTTTTTTACCCTTATGTGCCTTATTTTGTGCCTTATGTGCCTGTTTATTTAATTTGACGACCTCGCCAAAAGTCAAGGACAGATTACTATCATATACAGGCCATTTTGGCTGGGCCTGTTGATTCTTGTATTTCTGTGTTAAATGAAGTGTCTAAATATTACTATTATTAAAGAGGATATTATAGCCCTTTTCCACCTTTTCAAACAGTCCCCTGAGGTCTAAATGAATCATCTGAGCTGTGCTTTGGTCAAAATATAACATGAATCAAGCACAAGAGGAGGTTTGTGACCCTGTATAAACCAGTTCTCTCAGAATGCTCCGTTTTGGTGTGTGTGTCTCTTTAAATGCAATGAGCCCCATTGAGTTTTCCTGGTGGACATCACTCCTTCGCTAGCGAGAATAAAAACAGTGGACCTGCGCAAAAGATTTGGGGGGGGGGGGGGGGGGGTTGACCAGAATTCCACTGTGACATCACAAGGAGAGCAGATTGGAAACAGAGCATTTTTCTCTGTGTTGTAAGACTTGTGCAGACCACAAACAAAAGACTGGATGGGTTTATTTCACATTTTGTTTGACACTCAGGTTACCCAAATATATGTTCAAAAACACTGTAAAAGTGGATTTTTCCTAATATGTCCCCTTTAATATAACCAGGGGTTAAATCAGTCAGGGGCTGTCAGCTGCTCAACATTTCATCCACATCTGAAGACGATCTGGAGCTGTTACGTATCAGCGAGGATGCACATTTTTATTTTGTTTTTCTTTGTTTTGCCGAGTTGCTCTATGCAGTCCCTCCAGGATTTTGCTGAAAATGCCTGATTTCACGGCAGTTTTTCAAAATAATTCGTTTTTTTTTTGCAATTAAATTACGGCAGCAAATGAAAATCGCAACACTAGTCTCAATTTTTTTAACGTTAAAAAATTAAGACTTTTTATCCTTAAACTATTTTCTTACACACACTTGGATGTTACTGAGTGATGCCTATATTTTTAACCTGAGCAGAGCCATTACCTTTGTGAAGTTACATATCCCTCTGCCTCACTCAGTGACGTCTCTCTCTCACACACACTCACACTCTTCATCTGATTTCATTACACATCACAATTAATATTTTGCCTCGAGCTTTTAAACCACTTTAAACATTTTACGACTTTTTATTCCTAACTATTTTAAGCACACACGCACACACACGCCGTTTGTTTCACAATCAGACAAGCTTTAGCGATGCTTATTTATTTAACTCGCCTCGCATCTTTCATCACTTGCAATCGATCTGGACGCAAAAGCCTCTGTCACGGCGATTTGTCTCGTATGTTGTCCGCGCGTTTCAGTCATTCTCATGGTGAGTTTTGCAGTAGATCGATGACTTTTGTTTGTGTTCCACCACAACGTTGCACGGGGTGCAAAGAAGTTTTTACCCCCTGCTTCCATGCAGAGCATCAGGGAATTGCCTTGCACGGTCCTTAGCTGTCATTTTTGTAGGTAAATGTACAACGTTTATGTCGGACATGTCTGCATCTGCATATATAAACAAGGAAGTGAGTTTGGTCAATGGTCACCAAACTTTGGTGACGTATGGCTCGCAGTTTTCGCGGGAGACTGCTATGATTGGTCAAATTAGCAGAAAGGTTGCAGTGATTGGACAAAATTGCAAGGTCACCCAGAATTCACGAGGATTGGTTGAATTTGTGTTAATTGTTGCGATCGCGACATTGCGCCTTCCTGGAGGGACTGTCTTTCATGCCCCATTCAGGGGGCATGAATCTCATATTACATCTTTCAAGTCAGTCATGAAAAAGTTTCCCCTCCCCTCCTTGCTCATCATCTTCATGAGGACAGAACTGAGCTCCGTCAGCATGAGAGTTCCGCTCCATGCAGAGTAAAGGTGCAGATAGCTTCTCTCATATTCAGATGCAAAACAAGAGCACACTGCACGGAGCAGGACGACTTTAAGGGCGTGTTTGTGCCTGAATATCATTAGCGCTATATGCTTTGTGCACATTGAGACGGAGCACATAAGAGGGAGCAAATGTTGCACAATTTTAGATTAGCGGTCGCAATTCATTCTAAGTAAATCGGGCCAGATGTCTTTTTTGTGTCCAGATTCCGACTGTTTTTAAATTTAGATCGCTATCTGAGAGTTGACCCTTACATGCACATAATGAATCCCATCAGGAACATTAATATGTCCATGGTGGCCTATGTGGACTACTGTAAACTAACTGCTGATGACTGCAGGGCCTCATTCAGCCCCTGAAGGAATATTACACAGACTGTGGCTGCAGCTGCAGAGGCCTGCAATCATTCTCCTCTGCAGATGTTGAATGGAAGCAGAAAGAGAAGCAGCAGAGAACACTGTTAATGTCTGCAGCCTGAAGATGCTTTCCAAATGAGGGGGTTTATGCACGGAACATATTGTGCAGTACTGCTTTCCATAGCATGCACAACAATGTCCTTTGAATCTTGAGTACAACCTTTTAACACTGAGATATGTTATGTTTAATATTATATTAAATGATTACTTTGATTTCAAACGCAATATTACGTTTTATATATGAAATTTTGTGTTTTGAATGTGAAACGTAATAAGTCCATATTGGGCTTTAACATGTTCGTCACCATGTGCACTATTAATTTCACAGCACTTAAACTATTATGTGCTATGTCACTTATCGTTATTATCATGTGCAATTACATTTATATCATTAAATATTGTGCAATCGTTACGTCTATGGTTCAGTATAAGCTGGGTAGTCCTAGTATGGGTGTTGTCATTACTTGGAGCTGCATAAACAGAGCCTGGGTCTGTGTTTAAACTGCAAATAGTCAATGACGCCAATACTGTTCTACTTAGCCGACCCTCTGTTACTTAAAGGAGCAATATGTAAGATATCTACTGAATTAAATCTGCTGGCTTTTCTGACAACAATGCAGCAACCAGTGTGTCCTTCTAAGTTTCTGGAATGGTTTGTTCTTGTTTTGACCAGAGAAGGTAGGCAGTTTGAAGGCACCCCCACACGACCGTTTTGGACGCCCCTCGGTTGGCCAGGCCAAAGGGCAAACAAATAAGTGTTATATAGTGTTATATCGACTCTAGGAATGAGGGGGGCGGGGTTGAGATGATGAGATGAGACGTATTTGTTGCTGTGTCTGATAAAAACAACAAATTGTAACGTCATGATCACAAATTAAAGATTCAGCAATCGTATTGGAATTGAAATACCCAACACAGATTTCCATCTGTAAAAACACTGTAACACACAATCTGCACCTTATGCTGCCCTTTCATTTGGAGACAATAATATAACAATGAAGTATACCAAGAAAATAAAATGCCTGCCTTCATGTGCTTATTTGTGGCATTGCAAGATGAAAAAAAAACAGAAAGACAAATACATGACATGATATAATATAATTTGGTAGACTTTGATGTCCCATTGGGGAAATTTGTCTTGGACCCAACTCCAGGAAACACATTTAGCTGCCTCCAAAGAGCATCAATAACATAAATTTAAAAAAACACTTGCAAGCAGAGCAGCACCAATTAACACCACAAACAATAAACCATACAGGGCTCTTAATCAAAATTGCACAAGATCTGCATAAAAAAATAAAAAATAAAAAAAAAACAGAAATTGGAGAGAGAGAAAAACCATGACGCTTTTGCAAAATCCATACAATCTAAGGTACCATCAATCCATATGTCATAAAACACCTCAAAAAAGCGGAAAAAGAACGGAAACAACTTATTGCATGAACAAAAAGTTGCCAATTACGCTGCTCTTCTCAAAGAAGTAAAGGTTAGTGATGGACACATTAACAAACAGCAAATAAACAAAACGAGCTCTTACCTCAGCGTGCACACCTCCTCTCGCGCCCCGAGCACCCAAACACCACGCGCTGCTCATCTCCCAGCACGAGCCATCCCACAGGTACAGTCCGCGCGGCCGTGTCCGGTACAGAAACAAAACGGAGGAGCAAAAGCTCTCAAGTAAGATAAATAATGAAATACTCGTAATTAAAAAAAGTACGACTATGCATGAGACTTCTCAAACTAGCTTTTGACCATGGAGGCTCCCGTACCGGTTCACTTTCAGTTGTTTTTGTTTTGTTTTGTTTTCGTCGATATAAATCACTCTCACAGTTTAGTCTCGCACCTCTCGCTGAGGACTGAAGTGAGATGAGCTGTGTGAGGCTGAATGGTCCGCAGCCGCTCATCTGCGCTTCTTTCTATATTTTCTGTTAAGCGGGTCGTGATACACAAGAGGACTTCCTGTGACGGGTTTCAAAATAAAACGGCTTTTTATCCGTAGAGGAAGCAAAGCAAAAATGGTGTTGTTTTTATTTTTTTATTTATTGATAACACTTTCATTTCCCGGACGAAAAAAAAAAAGACAGTTGCATTGACAATTTTAGATTCATGAAAAATAGAAATGTAAAGTTACAATAGCCTATGTAGAATTACATTACAATGTTTACATTAAAATAGCTAAGTTAATTAAAAATGGACTTAACCTATTTTTGTTGAGTACTTAGGCCTATATTACTACAAATATTTCCAACAGTTATCAAAGCCAGAGAAATCCGTCATTTTATAGTTGTAACGGGACGTGTCTTGTCGTGGCAGCCGCAATGAAGGGCACGACATGTTTAGCATTGCCGTGGAAACACCGGGTGTTACATCAAATACAGCTGCATAAGGAGGTGGGAGCTGCCACGGAAAGCTGCCGTACTGTTGCTGTATGTGTCTGCTGTGATCAAAACGTCATGCAAATTATACTTGGATACATCGCCAGTTAACATATTCTCTTCTACGAGTCTGTTTCGCCCGTTTGTCTTCACTAGGGTCCATGCAGAGTTTGTTGTCATGTGGGGAGGGGGGGGTACAACGAGAATTCCCATGATTCCCCACTAGCCTCAACATCAGCTTTTGTTAATGGCAATGGTAGCAGAATCATACTTACATTGCCTTTAATTTATTTTGAGCCATGTAAATAGAATTAACTGCAGTTTTAATATATTTTTTTTAGGCATGAGAGCAGATTTTTAGTATCATTAACTCCTCTGGTTTACAGTTGTAGATCCACGAGTATCATCCACTATATTTCAGTGCTCATTGGCAGTATGAAGGAAACAGGAGGCTGGAGAACAGAAGAGGTGGAACGCATATCACTATCATGTAATCCTGGATCTCATCAGAAGGCAAATGAGGAAGATTAAAGATAGAGGGCTAAATTAATTGTGGAATCAGTAGTTTCTTTGTAAAAAAAAAAAAAATGAAATACAGACTTATACATCAGACTGTCTGACTTGTTTTATTTAATCTAATTAAGTTTTTTTAAATAAAGTAGCATTACTGCAACTTATTTTGAAAAGGGATTATTTCAACTTCTGGTGAGATCACACCTGAATATGGATGACTTTACACTTACTGATCTCAGTTGGTGCTCCTGACTCATTGAAGGCAGTGTTGGATTCCTCGCAGCCCAAAGGACTTCGAGATGTGATCAGTGCAGGCTCTTATTTCAGATATAGCTCTGTGTTTAAGAAATGTAGTGCTTCATCAGGATCAAGGACACCATGGTGTGTGTAGGAGGAGAAGTACGGAGGTATAGGAGGAGGAGGGTCAGGGGTCAGTGAAAGGTGGCCCTCAGGGAGGTGTGGGCTGCAATTACCAACAGGTCAGCAGGGTCAGGAAAACAGTAACCAGCAGAGCAATACAAAAAAGGATACAAGAGTGTACAGGGTTCATGGAGCACCTTTCTGCTGTATGAACTACAGATGGGAACAAGTTACTTATTCCAAGTACAAGTCAAGTTTCTTTAAGTAATGGCAAGTACAGTTCAAGTCTCTTTTTAATTTAAATAAAAATATATTTCAAAAATATATTCATATGAATATAGAGGGGGGGGCTAAAATGGATATGGACTAAAGTTACTCGGGGTAACAGGAAAATACTGCTACCATTATCAGGCATAATAACTGTAAGAGAGCCTCTCAAGCATGCTGTCATGGAAACTCAATAGATTGTTAACATTATGAGGACAATTAGGGCGCCTTTGGCCAAGTGGTTAGTTTGCTAGCCACATTTCTTGAAGTGTACGGCCTTTCCTGCATGAAAATCCCCCTCCCCCCCTCTCTCTCAATGATTTCCATCTCTATCCACTGTCCTATCAGAATAAAGGCATATAAAACACACAAAAAAACACAAAAAAAACTATTACGAGATGCCTTCCAAAAAATAAACATTAGAAATGACTTGTAATTGAATATTTGACCCAATATTGTGAATTAAGGATTAAAAAAAAACATTTAGTGAGATTTGTGCTGAAATGAAAGTAATGTAAAAAATCTTTAAATGTAAGTTTGAACAAGACTGCAACAATGATGGAGTCTGTTGCTCTTTGTGAAATAAAAAGAGATCACTTTTTATTGCTATGAATCACAACATTTTGTTCCTCCTACTCAAGGTCTTATATCTTTACTTTTACACTTTATTGTTGAGTCATGCTGCACAAACAGGATCCTATAGACATGCACTAATAGAGAGATGTGACAGGCTGCACATGAAAGAGCGCTTGATCTGTTGGGGGTTTGGTGCCTACCTCAAGGGCACCTCGACAGTGCACAGAAAGTAACCTGGCACCTCTCCAGCTACCAGACCAATTCCAGACTTGGTCCGCACCAGGACTTGACCCGGTGACCCTCCTGTTCCCAACCCAAGTCCTTGCAGACTGAGCTACATTCTTTTGGTGGTTACAGCAGAGACACAAGTGTTGACTCACAACTTTTTGCTTTATCTGCATAACTTTGTTGAAGATCCTACCAGACAGGCCAAGTTTTATTTTGTTACTTTAAATAATTGACATTGCTTAATAAACAAAATGTCTTGTGCTGTATATTTAATACATTTATATGACTAAGAGAAAGTTCAATGTTATGTTGTAGTTCTGAATGAAATCACTGTGAACATTGTAGATTTACTTCAATTTCAAGCTGGTAAGTATTCTGATACTTCCGACAGTATCTAACACTAACATATTATATAAAAATAACTCAACATGTGATGTTTTATTTTGTCTCTTAGTAATACATATGTATGTCAATTTATCATTCATATTTTAGAAACTTTCTCTTCTGATAATTAACAAACATTCCTGTCCCTTGTGAATTTCCATTTCTACATCATCTGCATTAATAACACACACTGTGTTCCATCATCATTATAAAGTTTCTCCATAATTAGCAGCATCATCTGATCATCAGTGATTTGAGTTTCATTGAAGTCTTAATGATGCCAGATGAAAGGTTGAGTCTGAAACGTAAGACACACAGGTCAATGATGCAACACATGACTATGCATGAGAAAGAAGCCACAGGTGGTATTTGAACCACTTGAAGGACGCTAGTCACTGTACACTGTGGCAAGGAACTAACCGGTAAGCTACCTGCTCCCCAAGGGGAAAACATTCAAATCCAGACATGACCATATTTGACAACACCACCCTAAATGTGGACAGTATTCATTCAGTTCACATTCAGTAGACTTTTATGTATTGATTTAGACATTAAAGGCAGAATGTGCGACATGTTACACATAAAACAGTAGAAATCCAGTTTATCCTCTGTAAATATCTCTCTGAGTCATGACTGTCTACAATGAGTGTTGTCAGAGCTGTACATCATGTTTACATTAAAATCGAATCAAGTTTATTTGTATAGCACATTTAAAAACAGCTTCATCTGACCAAAGTGCTTTACAGGCAATGCGTAAAAGCAAGAAATAAAAAATGTATCTATAGGCCTACATATGCACATACATACATATATATATATACATGTACACATATATACACATAATACACACACACAAACATATATATATATGCATATACAGATATACATGCAGCATACATAAATATTGACAGGACAGCCGGCTCATCCCCTTGCCTATAACACTGTTCGAGTGAGGGACTAGAGAAAAGGAGAATAACATGCTGTACTCACTAATTATTTGAATTCATATTTCATAGTAAGCTTTTTTAGATCGCCGTCATTCCGTGTCAATTAACATGCAATGTGAAGCTACACGCTAACTAAAGAGCGCTACCATTAGCCTGCTAACACAACAATGCAGCTGGAGACAAGGACAATTTTGTCCACATGCTTGCACTTAATTATGTTGCATTCCAATTTAATAACTTCTTTGTGAAAACGGGAGGGGAGAGGGGTTGGAGGTGTATCGCTGGAGGAGAGCGGGGGCTTCAGAATAGCGAAGATGTCACCAAACAGCAGTTGTTTTAGTTTCATGCTGGTGCTAAAGGGCGACCTCTACAGGATCTAAAAGTCAAACGTTCTTCCTTTGAAATTATTAGAAAAGTATTTTATGAGTAAATACATTCACTGAAAGTTGGGTCATTTTCACATCTGGTTTCATGCAGGTAGGGGAGTGGGCCATTAGAAAAAACACATATTTAATCCAATGTCTGCATATTTATGGACCAACAGGTTGTTATTCACTAACTCAACAAATATTTTTCTCAGTTGTCTTTTTCAACATGTTTGAAAATTCTCATTTGAAATACTGCCACCTAAGTTATATTAAATCCATCTGTACCAACCAGTCATCAACATCATCATCATCATTTCATCATAATCAGGCTCACAACAACATTTTCTTTCTTCTCTTTCCAGCCTCACTCAAGATGACACTACAAGCACATAAAAGCCCTTTTTACTTCTCCATTGGTTTAGTTTCCCAGAATAATCTGTCAGTGACTTTAGCATCAACTCTTTTTTCCCCTTAACTGACAACGTGTTAGTATGTGTCAGTAAAACCAGAAAAGAACAGATGTGGTTTCTTCTTTTGGATCTATGAGGAAAAATGATGAGTCATGAACAGGAGGGAAGAGAATGGTGGAGGTCTTTCCTTTATTCAATAGCGCTAATAACCTTGAGTACTATGCATATTTTGGACACATCTTTCCCTTTAGTTTTCTTGCTTTTGCCTCTCCATTGCACCTGCTGTCAGTTTAATTTCTACTTAAACAGATGGGATTGATTCATAATCACTTGTGCTTCCTAAATGGACAGATTAAGATCCCTGAAGTTTAACGGACTTGGTGTTATACTGTGATGATTCAGTGTTCCTTGAATATTTTTTAGAGCAGTGTGGCTTGTGCA